CCCTGGAAACGTGTGTTCACTTCTGGTTTCTGGGAGGGGGGGGAACACCCCATAGCAACCCATGGATTTGCTTAAGGACTTCCATTTTGTGACTGCCATATTTGCTTCAAGGGCAGAATCAGGTCCAGTCACACGATGACCTGCTTTACAACTGTCCTTATGGCCATGATGGCCAGGCTCTGTTACAGTCACAACTTGAGATTTCCTGTACTGTTATTAGTATGCCCTGTTTGGGTTCAAAAAACTTCTTTGCGACAACAAAACCTTCAGAGCTTTTAGTAAGACCGGCTTCTCCAACTTTGCAGCCTGCAGGCCAGTTAAGATTCAGACTTCAGAAGTTAGCCCTCCTTGTTAACGTTCCCTGGTTATGTTAGGATCCTCAGGTCTAGTTGCTCCTCATGTCCTGATTTTAGTTATTATTATTATTTTGCCAGCCAGTGAAAACCAACTTTTCCTCCACATTGCCATGAATTGACTAACGTATAAGCCTAAACCAGGTTTTTTTCAGATGGCAGAACTTCAAGTGGTACAAGAACTTAATGGGAGGTTCCTGAGAAATGGAGAGAGAGAGGAGGGAGGGAGGAAGAAAAGAAGGAAGGAAAGAGGGAAAGGAGAGCAGAGGAAAGGGGAGGGAAAGAAAGGAAAGCAAAGGAAAGAAAAAAGGAAGGAAGGAAGATTTAAACAGATTAAACAGATAATCAGAGTTGGAAGGGACCTTGTAGGTCATCTAGTCCAACCCCCTGCCCAAGCAGGAGACCCTACACCATTTCTGACAGACAGATGGGAATCCAGTCTCTTCTTGAAAGCCTCCAGTGATGAAGCTCCCACAACGTCCAAGGGCAACTTCTGGTCCATCGGAAGGAAGGAAAGAGGGAAAGGCATGCAGGAAGGAAGGCAGGAAGGAAGGAAAAAAGAAAAGGCAAAGAAGAGAAGGAAGGAAAAGACAACAACAAACAAATGAAAGGGAAGGAAGGAAGGAGAAACAGAAAAGGAAGGAAAGAAAAATAATGAAAGAAAAGAAAGAAAGAAAAAAACGAAAATTTCAAACTTGAAATGTATTTATTTTAAAAATTGACTGGTTTCACTGTCTAAAAAGCAATGACCAAAAAGACAAGAATACATATTTTGTCAAAACAAACAAACAAATCCTCACACACATTGAAAGTATTTTTTTTGGTGGGGGGGAGAAAAAGTAGGGGGGGGGGAATCCCACCTTTAAAGACTAACATGTTTATTAAAAGTCTTAACAGGTCATTTTCTGCAGAAGATAAAAAAAAAAATGTCTAACAAGCTCGCTTACCCCGGCGGAAATACCTGGTGGTTACCTGTGCTCTAAAATAATGAACTAAAATGACAAAATGGTGCCCCAAAGTAGGAAGAAGTACCCTCCAAAGTATTTTTTTTTTAAAAAAAAAAAACAGGAATTCCTACTTCTTACTTTGCCGGCTGAGGAATTCTGGCAGTTGAAGTCCACAAGTCTTAAAAGTTGCCAAAGTTGGAAGACCCCCAACGTTACAGTATTGGCTGCCAACTCCACAATGCTTTTCAGCCGAGCCCCGCAGGGCTGCCGTTTACAAAGCTCAGCTGTCCTTACATCGGCTTGCTATGTTACCCATCTGTATGGGGTGGGTTTGGGCCTTGTATGTAGCTGCCAGGAGTGACTGTGATGAAGTGGAGAAGATAAACTGATAGATTGTGTGCCCAGGAAGATGTGGGAGAATCAGTCAGAGAAGCGGCATGGAGGGAGGGAGCTGGTTGGGTTTCCTGGTTTCTCTTCTTAGCCTTTTGAGAACAAAATTGTTGTCCCTTTGCACTTAAGGGCCCTGAATATAATTGCTACAGTCATAATAATTTGGCAGTAAAATAAACTGAAGAACCATCATGGGATGCTTTTAAAGCGGCTGGCTGTATTTATTTTTCTTTAAAGGGGAAGAATAAACAGAGAACTTAAGGAGGAAGGGTTTTATGGTTTTGCTTTATTAATGTATAATATTTGTTCAGCAAACATTAATTGGCAGAGATGCCAGAGCAGGGTTGTTGTTTTTTTTCAATCTTAGCAACTTTAAGATGCGTGGACTTCAAAATTCCCAGAATTTCCTAGCCAGTATGGATTCCCCAACCAGTATGGACTTCAACTTCCAGAATTCCCTAGCTAGTATGGCTAGGTAGGGAATTCTGGGAGTTGAAGTCTAATTGGTAAAGATGACAGAATAGAATTTTTTCAATCATAGCAATTTTAAGATATGTGGACTTCAATTCCCAGAATTCCCTAGCTATCTTACTGGCTAGGGAATTCTGGAAGTTGGCTGGGGAATCCAATCCAAGTTGGCTGGGAATTCTGGTAGTTGAAGTCTGTGCTGGCTGGGCACTTCATAGAGGTTGGGGGAATTCTGGGAATTGCAGTCCATGCATCTTAAAAGTTACCAAGGTTGAGAAAGACTGCCAAAATTTGAGTTACAGCTATCAGATAGCTATTTCTTCTCTCTTGGCCCATCTCATCCCATGGTACGTTTTTATTTATTTTTATTTATTTAGCCAAATTTTAAATAGGTACCCTGGGGAATGATTGATAGAGTTATCTATATAGAAGATCATAGCACAGAGGCATAGATAAAGCAACTGAGTCCTGAATGCGTAGGAAAGAGTTACCAACTTTTTTAAAAAAAATCGTTGTTTTTTTTAATTATACGATATCGGACTTTTCAGTACATTTTTCAGTACTCAAGAATGTTATGCCCATCAATGGGATAGTAAGCCTTTTACAGAAGAACGATAGTCCATGACTTATGACCATAATTGACCCTAAAATTTCTGTTGCTAAGTGAGACAGTTGTTAAGTGAGTTTTGCCCCATTTTACGACCTTTTTTGCCACAGTTGTTAAGAGAAGCACTGCGGTTGTTAAGTTAGTAAGCAGAGTTGTTAAATGAATCTGGTTTCTCCATTGACTTCGATTGCCAGAAGATTGCAAAAGGCAATCCCATCACCCTGGAACGTTGCAACCGTCTGCTAATCCCGAATTCCACCCCCCCCCCACCCCATCCTCTTGCTCGGGATTTTAACGTGTGTGAAACTTATTTCACCCCACCAGGGCAGAGACGGATGCTTCACCCACCTTTCTCCCTGCATTTTCTGCCTGATCTTTCAAAGATCCTGAGCTGATATAGACGGGGCGGATTAAACTAATCATAAAATGATGAAGGGAATGCCGCAACGCTCATTGATTCGTCTGAAATTAACTGTAGTACAATAAGTCTTCCTAATGGCGTTCTGTGTTGCATTCCCAAGTGGATTCCGCTTTCCTCATTTTTTTTCCCTCCCTCTTTCTGTCACACCAAAAATCCCACCCACCCGCTTCCCCTTTGACGATAAAGATACTACATTCGTTCCTCAGCTTCGTTTCCAAGCTCAGTGTAGATACCCTACACTGATCAGTAGGGCCGAATGCTTCTGGAGATGACAGAATACAGAATAATAAGTGTTGGGAGGGTTGGTTGTCCAATCTCTTAAAAACGTCCAGTGCTGGAGCGTCGTCAAACTTGACAGCTTTAAGATTTATGGACTTCAACTCCCAGAATTCCTCCTCCAGTCATGTTAGCTCTGGAATTCTGGGAGTTTGAAGTCCACAAGTCTCAAAGCTGCCAAGTTTGAAGACCCTTGTTCTGGAGGCAAGTCGCTGTTCCACGGATTAATTGTTCTAGTTTTCAAGAAATTTCTCCTTAATTCCGGGTTGCTTCTCTCCTTGATTAGTTTCCATACATTTCTTCCCTTGCCTTCTGGTGCTTTGGGGAATAGGTTGAAACCACCCCACTTCTTTGTGGCAGACCATCCTTTAGGCCCTAAAGGGTTTCAAGGCTTGTCTTGGACAAACTGGGTTTGTATGGTGTCTCCACAGTATAGCTTAGTTTCTCATCTTCTATGAGTAGGAGATCCCATGTTTGTTCAATCTTGGCACAGAATGAAGAAAGAAAGCTGGTTTTTATATGTGACATACTTTTGACAGAAACTCCAGAATAAGTGTAGGATATCTCTATGACAATGGCCGAAAGCTACTGGAGATGACAGAATAACAGAGCTGGAAGGGAACTTGGAGGTCTTTTACTCCAACCCCCTACTCAAATATCTGTCCAATCTCTTCTTAAAAACCTCCAGTGTTGGGGCATTCACAACTTTTGGAGGCAAGTCATTCCATTGGTCTAACTGTCAGGAAATTTCTCCTTAGTTCTAGGTGATTTCTAGGGATTGGGGAATCCTGGCAGTTGAATTCCACAAGTCTTGACATTGCCAAGACTGGAGACCCTTGAAGACTTGTATCTTACTGAGCTATTTGCAAAATGTCTCTGCAATTAAATGGACTACTTCGTACTAGTACTAACTACTAGTTGTTATTCTTGTTGAAAGGTGCCAAATCTGCTGAGGAAATTCCGGGCTAATTTTCACAAACCCTGGCTTAGAATATAATCAAGAACAATAGATTCATAATATTCAAGTTACAGCCATAATGGAGCCTGCGCCCATCACAGTTGCAAGTCATGATCGTAAAGCAGGTCAACTCCATGACCGACTCAATTTTCTGACCTTTTTTTGTGGCAGTTGCTAAGTGAACACCGTGGTTATTAAACGAATCCCATTATTTGCTATGGTCTGGTTTATGCGTGGGGAAGGCGGTGCCGTCCGATCTTAGGAACCAGGTCATAAGTATATGACTGTCAGATTCATATCACCCCAATTTAGCTACATCAAATGGTAACAATGCAAATTTAAGAGTCAAGCAATGGACACAAGCTAGTTGTTTTTCTAAACCAAGAAGTTATAACTCAGAATAATTCTCTCTAGGAGTAGAACAGAAGGAAAAATCAGGAGAGAACAGCTGTTGGAAAGCATGGCTCCTAGCTTCAGAAGTCGTGATGCAAATCTAGGAAAGATCACCATGATTCTTTGCTTCCACCTTCGTCTTGATCTGCTCTTTCTCAATGTCATTTCCCGTTTTTCTTGCTTCTAGCTTCTCCGGGAACTTATTGAACGCAAAACCACTTCCTTGGATCCCAACGACCAAGTGGCGATGGGCAGGTAAATGCTTCAATATCATAGGCCTTGAACAAGATATAGAGGCTCTGCAACTGACAGCTCACTTTCAGACCCTTTTTTTCTAATACATTTTATTTATTTCAAAGATAAGTTGTTATAAAAAAAAAACCCTACAGAAAAAAAAATGCAAAGGTTACAAACAAGACAAATAATAATAATAATAAATGTGCACAGCATACATCAAACCAATGTTAAACATACATTGTCCACCCTAGTAGAATGTTGACCAATATGTCTCAAATAAATCTAGTAAATTCCTCACTCCACCCCCCTTTTTTGTGGAGGCTCTTGCTTTTAAAAGAGTGTGGTCTAACGGTTAAGGCACTAGGCTAGAAACCAGTAAACTGAGCTCTAGTCCCACCATAGGCATGAAAGCTAGCTGGAGGCGGCGAGTTCTAGTCCCACTTTAGGCATGAAAGCCAACTAGCTGACTTTGGGCCAATCACCAGGAGATAATGAGTTCTAGTCCCACCTTAGGCACGGAAGGTGACTGGGTGACTTTGGGTCAATCACCAGGAGACAGTGAGTTCTAGTCTCACCTTAGCCATGAAAGTCAGTTGGGTGACTTTGGGCCAGTCCCTCTCTTTCAGCCCAACTTGCCTCAAAGGATTGTTGTTGTGGGGAAAACAGAAGTAGGAAGGAACATTAGGTATGTTCCCTGCCTTGAGTTATTCACAAAAATAATAAAGGCAGGGTAAAAACAATCCTAAAATAAACAAGAATAAAACTCTCCCCCACCTCACTGAAACGTACTTTGTTCTTGGTAATTTGCTTGTCTGTATATTTTATGTTATTGCTATTTATTATACTAACTTGCCTTCGATATTAATTATGAGTCCCCGTCAGAGCCGATGTGGGAAGGAGGCAGAGATGAATGAAGAGAAGAGAAACAAATCCAGGACCAGGCAGCCTTTTTTTATAAATGGGTGGCGGCAGATGGCAGACTAGAACTCACAATGTGGAAGACAAAACTTTTCCTCTTTTGGATGCAAGTAAAAGGGTGCAGAATTCATGACGGTATTTAATTGGGGCCAAAGAAGTTTGATAGGGCTGATTCAGATCGTTGGTCATCCATAGCACAAACGATGTCAGCTCAGGGCCCTATCACTTCTAAACAGACCCTGCAGTTTATGGAGAACAAAGAATACAAGTCAAGGGTCCATCTTTCAGCTTAAGGCAGGGTGTTTATATCCTTTCAAAAAAAAAACATAGTAGGTCTACACAGATTGATTCATAAACTGGATCTATTCCTACTTAAATCAGGGAAATTGCACTTAGATTGAAAAAGACTTTATATTCAGCCGGGTATCCCGCCAACACATTGAACCTCTGAGTTGTGAGAGCCAGCAGAAGAGTTTCACATTTTGAACGTATGTATTTAATCATTTACACGCAAGGATCGGACAGTCAGTTAGAAACCACAAAAAATAAGGAAAAGATATAAATATACGTAGTCCTCGATTAACGATAGCAACCAGGACCGAAATTTCTGTTAAGTGACACGGTTGAAAGCACAGTGTTACGTTGCCTGCACAGTTTAGCAACAGCACTTCCAGTTGCGGTCCTTAAATGAATCCCAGGATGTGTTTTAAGTGCAATATCACATGATCATTGTTTGTGACCTGCGGGCTTCCCCACTGCCTCCTTGTCAAGAGCTGGCAGGGAAGTCCATGAGGCTTCCCCATGTCCATGAGGGCACTGCGACATTATGATTGTGAACTGGGCACCAAATTGCCAATTGCAATTGTGTGACCACAGGATATCTGCAACAACCAGAATTCCAAAGATTGGTCCTAAAAACCACTCGTTCATCGTTTGTAAGTTAAAATGATCCCCAAGTAAGTATTCGTTAAGCGAGGACTACCGGTATATGTCATAATCCACTTAGTTAAATGCATAATCACAAAATGTAAATTGGGAAGTAAGGATCATACTGGTTTGATGAAGTCAATACCTCCTGCATTTACACTGCAGTGAGGCAAGTGTTTTACTATATTTCTTGTGTCTTATGAGCATATCTTAAAAAGAGTTTAGTGTAAAACTTATCTGTTCCTCCTAGAAATTTCTGAAGACTAGATATTATGTAAAGTTCATGAGCATCTCTGTAAAAATTGCAATGAAAAACACAAGCACAAACAAAAAGTTATAATCTTTGCAGAATCACACGGGCGTATATGCTTAAAATGCAGTTTTACACTCTTCCAACCACAAATGAGCCCAAAATTTCCATCGCTAAGCAAAGTGAGTTGATAAGTGAGTTTTTTCCCCATTTCACCATTTTTTGTCCCAGTTGTCAAGCAAATCACTGCAGCTGTTAAGTGAATCATGTCATTAAGCAGATCTGGTTTCCCCATTCACTTCGTTGGTCAGAAGCTGGCTGGGAAGGTTACAAATCATGATCACATGATCCTGGGACATTGCAACTGTTTAAGTGCATGCCAGTTGCCAAGTGTCTGAATTTTGATCATGTGACCATGGGGATGTTACAACGGTTGTAAGTGTGAAAAGTGTGAAAAGCCACTTTTTTTCATTGCAGTTGTAACTTTGGTCACCGAATGAATGGTTGTAAATGGAAGACTACCTGTATTATGTTTGCTGACTGAGGGTAAAATGTTATGGCTGGCATAATTTTTTTTCTTAAACTAGGGCGGGTTCAAATCTCTTAGAGCAGGGGTGTCAAACTCAAGGCCCAAGGACCAGATCCAGCCCGCAGGGTGCTCAGATCTAGCCCATGGGACCGGCCTGGAAATATCAAAGGACCGGCCCATGGTACCTGTGCCGGCCAAATCTCACCCCCGTATAGCCTGTTTTCGGCCGGCAGAGGCCGCCGAAGCCAAAAATGGGCCACGGGAGGACATATGAGCCCCCTCCCCACCCCGCTTTGGCCAGCAAAGTGCTGCAGGAGGCCGTCCAGGCCGAAAACGGGGCACAGGGTGGCTTTCCCCCATTTTGGCCAGCAGGGTGCTGCAGGGGGCGTTTGTCCTGTCTCCCACTCTCCGCTCCCCCCCATCCCCCGAGCCAGCCCATGGAGGAGAACCATGAGCCTCGGTGGCGCAGTGGTTAGAGTGTAGTACTGCAGGCTACTTCTGCTGACTGCAGGTTGTCTGCGATTTGGCAGTTCAAATCTCGCCAGGCTCAAGGTTGACTTAGCCTTCCATCCTTCCAAGGTGGGTAAAATGAGGAGCCAGACACTTGGGGGCAGTAGGTGGATTTTGTAAAAACAGCTTAGACAGGGCTGAAAAGGACTGTAAAGTGGTATATAAATCTAAGCGCTAGTGCTGTTTGTGAGTATTTCTGGAGCTGAGGGACCTGCAGCTCAGTGATAAAGCAACATTTTGAACATGGTATATATAATTTGTTCAGAATAATTTGTTTTTTGGCCATCCTGCAAATCTCTCTCTCTTTTTTTTCCTTTCCTTTTTTTTTGATTCTGGTATGTCACTTTGATATTTGGGTCAAGGAGAAAAATAGGACAGATGTTTTTTAAAAGTTTCTTTTTTTACCTTCAGTTTTGTGCCAAAGAGTAAAACTGCGAAGAAAGTGGAATTGTAATTACAAACATTTTTATTTTAAGACCCCCAAATGGCACCGCTTTCATCTGATTTACTTGTTGGGGAGCCCTGGATCAGGGAGGCAAATCTCAAAATCCAATTACCGCAATCTTAATATAATCTTAATTGCTGTAATCTATTTTATTGTAAAGTCAGATAAATGTGCGGTGTAATAACTGCTTAAGTGCAGGGGGGGTGTTCTGGTCTCCGTCCCATTAAATTATAGCTACCCAAGCTATTCCAGCCAAACCACCAAATATATTTGACACCCAGCCCCCGAAGCTCAGACAATATTTTAAGAAAGAGTGAAACCATTTTGCCAGAGCACCTGGGCTTTTTCTAATGCATCCAGTAGTAGTTGTTTTTTTTCCCCAGCAGTGAGTTGCTGTTTCAGCCTTTGGTGTTTTTTTTTTTTAATTTCATTTTGGGTTTCCTTGTACACATCTATGCATTAGCCAGCGGTTAATTAAATAAGAGGTTGTTTTTTTAAAAAAAAAAAGTTGCATGTATATGTGGGGTTTATTCCCCTCTTCCTCTTAGAATTGGGAATATAGAGAATTTGCCCCATAGCACTGCGTTTATTTGGGTTTTTTTTTAATTTCTAATTTTTAAAAAAACTTTAGTCCTCAACTTAACAACAGTCTGTTCAGTGACAGAAGTTACAACGGCAGTGGAAAAGAAAAGACTTATGGCCATTTTTCACACTAACAACCATTACAGTTTCCCTGTGGTCATGTGATCAAAATTCAGATACTTGCCAATATTTGTTATTTTTTAATATTTATTTTTTATGATTTTACAGGATAAAATACGAAAACAAATATAGTAGGAAAAATAGGTGAGGGAAAAGAGAAGGGAAAAGTGCAGAAAAGAAGGGAAAAAGAAAGAAAAGGAGTCGACTTCCAACTCCCTTTGGTGCAGTAAAATAAGATAGTAACATCAAATCTCAACTTTTTACTTTTACATAGTAGTATAAATCAGGGATCTCCAACCTTGGGAACTTGAAGACTTGTGAACTTCAACTCCCAGAATTTCTCTGCTTTGGCTAAGGAATTCTGGGAGTTGAAGTCCACAACTCTTCAAGTTGCCAAGGCTGGAGACCCCTGGTATAATAAACTAACTATTTCTCTATCAACAAATCTATCTAATCGGTAAAACCCAAAATCAAAGTTTCAGTTTCTTTCTTCCTCAAGCACAAAGTCCAGAAGCGGTTTCCAAGTAGAAACAAAAGTATTTATATATATTTTTCTTTTATCAAAACAGTCAACTTAGCCACTTCTGCTAACTCTACACTTTTGCAAACATTTATCCATTGTGGGACTCGAAGTGTCCTCCCATTTTTGTGCATAAACATCTATAACATTAAAGTTCCCAATTATTTTCCCCAAGTCTTTTTCCATTAAACCCAAAACTAAAGTTTCTGGTCTTAATATTCACTTTAAGACTCTTCTTTATTAGAATAATAGCTCGATATCCTGCTTCGCTATGAAACTATGTGAGCGGGCTTAGTTTTTGGGGAGGAAAATGGGTGGGTGGGGGCTACCAGCATCCATCGGTGTTCATCTGACTAGCATCCTGTCAGTGTGTGGGAGAGTTGAGGGCTGTTTGGAAACTGAAACTGTATTTGCTGTGTGAGTAAGAAGGAGACAGGAAGGAGCCTGGGCGTGGCTTAGCTCAACTGTTCTGTACTAAAGCTGTTTGCTGCTCTGAAACAGAAACTCCTCTGCTTGTGTTTTACATTTGGAACAGATTTCTTTTCAGGTGGGGAAGGGGGAGTAGAACTCCTTAGCATCAGAGCATGTTAATAATAATAATAATAATAATAATAATAATAATAATAATAATAATAATAATAATATACGAAATACTAATGCTCTGAGGATCATTTCGAAAAATCCTTTCTTTGTGAGCACTTAGAAGCCAAGAGGAACATACCTGCCTAATTTCAAGTTTGTGCGCTTTACGGTTCTAGAGATTTTGTGATGATGCGTGAGTGATATTTTATATATGTAGATGAATCCTAGTCCAATATTTCTTTGCTTTATCACATGTCCAGCCAGCTGATTCATATTTATGATGGTTCCAGTCTTCCAGGTGATGTGATCCCCTTTTTTGCAACCTTCTGACAAAGCCAGTGGGGAAGCCAGATTCATTTAACGACTGTGTTCTTATTTTAACAACCGCCGTGATTCATTTAACAACTGTGGCAAGAAAGGTTGTAAAACTCGCTTAACAATGGTCTCAACATAAGCAGCAGACAACTCGGGCTCAATTGTGGTTGTAAGTTGAGGACTATCTGGAATCGTGGGCGTAAGAGCAAGCCACCTGAGGCTGTTGCTGCTGTTGCTGAGTTCCAGCAGGCCTGATCTTAAACCCACAATGTCACAATCCCGAGAAGGGGACACAGATAGGCCTCTACTTGCGAACGTAATGGAGCCTGCCCATTAGGATCGTAAATCACGACGGTTGCAAAGCGAGTCACCCATGTATCTGACCCACTTTTACCATCTTTTTTGCAATGTGTAGAACAAATGCCACTGTCCTAAAGAGAAACCGATTGTTTGCTGTCAGCCATTTCACCGAAAACCAGAAATGAGTGGCAGTTTTTAACAAAGCCATCATAAAATATAGTCATGTGACCTTGGGCCACTGAAAATGGCCGTAAACGCAAGCCCGTTGCCGAGCAACCCACATGCAGTCACATGACCATGGGGGGGAAAGTGACTGTCAGAACTTAGGAACTGGATTGTAAGTATCCCCAAGGGAGATCCCGTCATAAGTCAAAGACTATCTGTACCATGAAGGCGTCTCAGAAGATGGAGGCAGCAGCTGATGGGTTGGTTGGTTGGTTTTTTGGATTGCAGTTGTTGATTCCATCACTTTTGAGAAGGAGATAGAACCCCTTTCTGTACTGTGCAGCCCAAATGCCACCCTATCATAGAATACTTTATTGGCCAAGTGTGATTGGACACACAAGGGATTTGTCTTGGTGTAAATACTCTCAGTATACATAAAAGAAAAGATACATTCATTAAGAATCATTCTGTTCCCATAGACAATGGTTGGCTATCCAGAAGTTGAGGAGTAAAATTCGGAAGAAAGTAGACACCAAGGCCAGTAAAGGAAGGAAAATCCGGTGAGTAGGAAGAGGCACTGCGTTTTCTGCTCTCTTAACTTCTGGGTTCTGTCATCCCCTTTTATGAAAAAGCTAAAAATAGTGATGTTACAAACAATTCCGTTTGGCTCTTTAATAATTGGTTTTCTGAGGGTATTAAAATAGATCAGGGGTCTCCAAAGTTGACAACTTTAAGACTTGTGGACTTCAGCTCCCAGAATTCTTCAGCCAGCCATGCTGACTGGGGGGTTCTGGGAGTTGCAGTCCACAAGTTGCCAAATTTGGAGAACTCTGAAATAACTGGTGAAATATTTCAAACTGCATTGTTTTTGTTGGGGTCCCTCATGCTTGCAGAAGATTAATACCAAGCTCAGGTTTTCTATAGACATTTTACCTCATATTTCAGCAAGTCGACCTCAGTACAACCATCCATATCATTCATCTTTGTGGGAGGCATCATTCCAAACCACCAATCAAATTTTTTTCCAAAAAAACTTCCAGTCCCCCACAAACAACTTCGCAGAATTCAACGGCCACAAGGCAGCCTCCGTTTCTGAACTATTGTGTGGGTGCTGATCTGAATGAGCCCAGAGAACCAGAATAATATGGACAACAAAATTTTCATCACCCAACTAGGTAGCACCACCAGTGTGAAAAGGGATTCGGCTTTGCAAATTGAAGTTGTTGTAGGTAAGTAGGTAGATGTTACCTAGTTGAGTAATGGAATGTCTGAAAGAAAACAACCAAGCTGAGAGAGTATCAAGGATCCCAGAGTCCTCCTCCTCCTCCACCTCCATCACCACCTTCTCCATCACCTCCTTTCCACAAACTTCCTCCTTCCTCCCTTTTAGACTTGATGATGTTACCTAGTTGGGTCATGAAATGTCTGCAAGAAAAACAACCAAGCTGAGAGAGGACCAAGGATCACAGAGTTGTTTTCTTCCTCCTCCTCCTCCTCCTCCTCCTCCTCCTCCTCCTCCTCCTCCTCCTC